CCACCAATCCTTCGCCCCAAGCCTCAACAGGTTCAGGGCACACTTGACCTTCTGGTCAGCAGGACATGAGCACGTGAAGAAACAACCCTCCACATCAGATAACCACCTCATAGCCCCGATCACATCCTGCGTACCACCAAACGTCAAGGGCTTCTTGTTATCGAAGTCCCGATATTGGAAAGCCCTAACGACTCCTCCTCCAACTCCTACCGCGGTTATAGCCAATGTGGCTGCAGTGGCAACTGTCTCTTCTAGAACTGTGTTGTAGCACTTGGTTCCTGGTACGTATAATCTATCTAAGTGATTTAAATTTTTACCATTGGACTCGGCGAGTTGTAGGCCTGACTCACCGAGTAGTGACGGGACATTGATCATGTTTAAGTTGGTGACTCGGTGAGTCCACATTTTGGACTCGGCGAGTCCCTGCTGTTTGGATGAAACCCTAATTTCAAGGGTTTGGGCCCTATTTAAACACCCCTTATGCGCCCCAAGCCCGACTCCTTCACCCTCAGAGCTCCCTATATCTTCCTAACCCCTTTTTCTTGTGAGATTGAAGTGTTTTGGTGTGATTTCTTGAAGATTTTGAGAGAAGAAGAAGAGTAGATCAAGAGGAGAAGAAAGAGGTCGAATATCTTGGTGATATTTCAGTGATTCATTGAGGTATAACTCAGTTCCTTCTGTTTTCATGCTTAAAGTCCCTTAAAGCACCATTAAAGTCCTTCTTGAACCATTTCCAAGCTTGAGTATGGATTAGGGTTTGTAATGAGTTGTGTAATCTCTAGATCTAGGCATGTTTGAGCTCCAAAAGCTCGAATTCAAGGCCTTTATGGAAGCATATTCCTTGAATGTTCTAGATCTACCATTTTAGCCCTTATTTGGCCTTAAATCCCCATTCTATGCATGTTTACACGTAAAGTTGGAAACTTTACGTGTAAAACCTACCCTAAGAACTCAGATCTATGTATGGCATAAGCTGGATTCAAGCAAAATCGAGTATATAGTAATTGTATGTGAATGACTTGGCGATTCGTTCATCGGACTCGGCGAGTCGAGTCACGAGTCCCCGAGTTTTCCCCCTTTTCGTCTTTGCTGAGTGGAGTTGTGAGTCATGGGTGGACTCAGTGGGTCGAAAGCCAGACTCATCTATGGAAGGACTCGGCGAGTCAATGCCCTGACTCGGCGAGTCTAAGGCAATCATCTTACGTCAAGAACAGACTCGACGAGTTGTTCATACAACTCGGCGAGTCACAGGCTAGAGTGTTCTTCGGATGAAGACGAACTCGACGAGTTGTTCATACAACTCGGCGAGTCGGATAAAGGATCATTGGTCATCAGTTAGAAGGATAACTCGTCGAGTCATCGCCTAACTCAACGAGTGGAGTTGTATATGATAACAAATGGGAAGGATAGGCACTCGGCGAGTTGGCGAGCTAACTCGACGAGTCAGGTAGTTGACTTTGACTTTAACTTTGACTTGTTCAGGGGTAAAATGGTTATTTTACCCCTAGGGCAGTTAGCAGTGTTTGCTTGAGTATTTTGTGGGAAATTATAGCTGGAGGATTTCCGAAGCAGCAACAGCAACAGACAGACAATTCCCACACAGACCGGTAGCTACTACGAGGTGAGTTACCTTCTAGTAGCGGTGGGTCTACGGCCACAATGCCGACCCACTAGTAGGAGTTGTATGTTAGATGATTGTCTCTATGATATTCATCTAGGGTTGCTACTACCTGTGCTATGTTTATGTAGTATTATGATATGATGCTATGTGTTAGTGACGGTAGGGGAGATAGTCCCAGATTACCGGTCGATAGGGTTGAAGTGGCAGTCATGTCCAGCCAGCTAGGAAGATTATGTGATATGTGTTATGTGGAGGTAGTAGGGGTAATAGTCCTCAGTATCCGGTCAAGAGGACCGAAGGGGAGGCCAGCACCCAGATATGCTAGTCAGTATCCGGTTGAGAGGACCGAAGGGGAGGCCAGCACCCAGATATGCTAGTCAGTACCCGATCGAAAGGACCGAAGGGGTAGGTCGGGCACCCAGATATGGCTGACAATATATGTATGTTATGTGGTTATATGGTATGTGGTACAGTGGGGGAACTGACTAAGCTTCGTGCTTACGATTTTCGGTTGTGTTTCAGGTACCTCTTCTATTAAGTGGAAGGAGCTGGCGCGGTAGCGGCGCATCAAACACACACTTTTGTTTTCCGCATCATGAGTCATTCTGGGATTTTGTACTCTGACATTATTATGTTTTACGTTTTGGTTACTATCACGAGACATGTTTCACTAACAAATATTATCGTATGATGTTTTTTTACAAACGTTTTGCAAATCACTTTATTAAAAATGAAATTTTTGGCCCGTAATTTTGGGATGTTACAAGTTGGTATTAGAGCCTTGGTTTGAGGGATTCAGACACACCTTCAGGGGTGTCTGAACTCAAATCGAGGGATTAAAAGATTTTGAAAAAGAAAATGTTTTCTAAAAGGTTAAGTAAATAGTTTTAAGAAGGAACAAAGTGTGTGATGTGCGCGACCGGGCGAGCTCAAGTAAGTATTCCCCAATGTACCCATACAAGTTTATGTATGTTTATCAGTTTCAGTAGAACAGCATGCTAGAATAGGACTAAGGATCTAGGAGTGATGCCTTATGTGCCTGCTTTAAGTGCTTAAGTATATGAAAATTTCATGCTAGGATTGAGTAGACAGCAGTAGGATAGCCTATTTAGTTTATACCTGATCGTATGAGTATAGCAGTAAGCAGTAGTGGTGAAAGGGATATGGTGGAGTCAAGGCAGTCCTTGAAGAAGGTACAGATAGATGTGGAAGGTAGTATGGGCCCGTACTACTGAAAGTAGAGGATCCGTACCCGAACCGAGGAAGGTCAAGATAAGACCAGGGAACTTGTAGTGGATGTGATCCCTCAGGAAGTATCAGTAACACTAACAGATGATATTTATGTATTTCAGAATGGTGGATGAGGGGCTACACGATTTCATCGCGTCAGAGATCACCAGGGGCATCCTTGAGTCGATCCCCATTATCTTCGGGTCGATCAAGGAAGGGATAGTTGAGTTGATGGAGGATCGCCTCTGGGCATTCAAGAGCGACATGGCATCTGGCCAGTCGGGATCTCGCATACTGTCCTTTAAGGACTTCAGGGGCAGTGGTGCGCCGGATTTTCACGGGGCGAAGGAACCCATAGCTGCTAGGCGATGGATTGCACACATTGAGTCTGCACAGTTGACTAGCTTCTACCCTGTGGGGTTGAAGGTGAGATTTGCAGCAGGATGTTTGAGGGATCGAGCTAGGGATTGGTGGGAGTCTGTTGGTGACTCGTTGGGAGCCTCGGCTGTCGAGGCTATGACCTAGTCGGACTTCGTGACCAGGTTCAGGGCAAAGTTTGTGCCGACTGTCGAGCTTCAACAGCTGGCCAGGGGGTTCCTAGATATGAAACAGACGATGGAGAGTGTGGTGGAAATCACCACCAAGTTCCGGGAGAGGGCGTTGCTAGTGCCCAATACGTGGGTGATGAGGATATGAGGAGGACCCGCTATCATGACATGTTACTAGCTGATATTCGGGAGCACGTCATTTTTTCAGCCTGCCCTACCCTGGACTCTATGATCGCCAGGGAAAGGGAGAGGGAGATAGATCTGGAGCACATCCGGAAAAGGAAGGCGGAAGAAGGGCATGTTATGGGGGCTTCAGGGAAGAAGCCCAAGGGATCAGATGTGGGGCCGAAAGGCCCAACAGGGATGGGGCTGCTGCAGGAAATGCGGCAAGACGCACAAAGGAGCGTGCAAGTTGGGGTCGTTAGGCTGCTATAAGTGCGGCAAGTAAGGGCACTTCAGCAGGGATCGTACCGCCCCTGGACCTGTGATACAGACGTCTGAGTTGCTGTGTTTCCACTGCAACCAGAGGGGGCCACAAGAAGGCCAATTGCCCCCAGTTGACAGCATCAGCGCCAATAAAGGCACCATCTCCAGCGACCCTGCGTATCACAGATGGCAGGCAGGGAAAGGCAGAGGATCCAGTAGTGAGGAGCCGGGCATTTCAGCTGACTACCAAGGAGGCACGCATCGCACCCGATGTGGTGACGAGTATGATTCTTTCCCTCTACTTTTATTTATATGATGTTATGTTATTGATATGTGCTCTGTGTATATGCGTTAGGATCGTTCCACGTGAACGGTATCCCTGTTCAGGTGTTGTTTGACTCGGGTGCCACACGATTGTTTGTTTCTCTTACGCTTAGCAAGAAGTTTACTGAGTCTTCAGGCATGTTAGATTGCCCTTTAGAAGTAGAGATTGCCGATGATCAATCGGTGCGGGCATTAGTGGTATTCAGAGATTGTGTTATGAGGTTATTCGAGGAGCGCTACTTAGTGGATTTGGTTCCCATTCCGTTGCGTGGAACAAAGTGATTCTAGGCATGGACTGGTTGAGCCCTAATGGGGTGGTGATAGATTGTGCACAACAGCTAGTGCGGATCAGGACCCCAGGTAGGGGAGAGTTGGTGATCCACGACGAGAGGCCATAGCGCGGACCCACAGTATGTTTAGCAATGAGAGCTAGGCGCTACCTTCAGCACGGTTGCGCGGGATATGTCGCGTACATTATGGAAACCCGAGAGGTGGGTAAGGCGACGGTGAGCGAGGTTTTGGTGGTGCGAGAATACGCTGATGTGTTCCCAGAGGAGCTTCCTGGAATATACACTACTAGAAAAACAGCCTTTTACGACGTGCAATGTATGATACGCATCGATTTACGATACGCAAAAGTGTGCGGCCTAAAAATAATATCATCTCTCTATAAATTTTAAGGATTTAAGACTTGTATTTTTGCGTGCCCTTAAATTAGTGTCTAAAAAAACACGGAGGATGCCTATAAGAAAATGTGTGTCGTCTGAAGACGTCGCTTTATAAATTTTAATGGAAACGCGCGTTCCATCATTTAATAGCCGGGGCGGGGGGGGGGGGGGAGGGGAGTGGAAATGAAATCCAAAAAAATTAAAAAGCCCGCCTCCCTTTTTCTTCCTTTCCCTCTTGCCCTAATTATCGACGCTCCTTCCAAGCAGCCGACAACCTTCACACTATCCTTTTCCTTTTCTCTGTAAACGACTCTTCGATTGGCTCCGGTTAAAAATTAGATGTGGGTGTGTAATCGTAACTTTTGATCTTTTGGTTTTGGTTGGCATTTGTGTCTGTTCAGATGTCTTCCAATCTACATTGGACATCGACATCGTTACTTGCCTCTCCGGCCAGATCGTCGACGTCGATCAAGGCAAGCACGCCACCAGCCAACAACCTCCACTCTCTCCTTTTCCTTTTCTCTGTAAACCCTAATCTGCCTCCGCCAGTACCGAATCTACCTCAACTCACCTCTAACCTTGGCTCATCTCTTTCTAATCGCTGCTAATGAACCTATTTTGTGTTTAATTTGGTAGCAAATCGCGATTTAATTTGTACACTGGAAGCCTAGATGACAGGTCCGACGTGGTGGCATCGTTTGTCTCGGTTGCGAGAGACAATGATTGGTATGGGAAGTTGATAATTGAAGAAGGTGGAGACAACCCGTTGCTGAAATTGGTGAAAGAAGGGAAACCAGAAGGTCTGGAGAATGTTGCGTCTGCAATCGGATTGCTACGTCGTGATCCTGAGAGCGTTGAACACATGATTCACGTCGGTGTATGCTCGATGTTTATTAAACACAGATACTAAGTCTACGCATCCTAATGAAGGTAAACTGCTTTGTTTTCATGTATTTGGAGGAGTTTTTATTCATTACAAAGGCATCTATTTTGTCAAATATTTTAGAAAGAAGAGGGATTGATATCTCAATACACATGATAAACTTGAGATTTAATTTGCAGTGACAACACTAAGGGCTATTAGGCAAAGCTTTATCGATCAAAACAGTAGGCTTAGTAACTGGAGGCGTGGAGATCCATGTGTATCAAATTGGACTGGAGTACTATGCTTCAACAAAACCCTAGACAATGGATATCTTCATATTCGAGAACTGTAAGATATTAATTCTCCAATTTATATGATTGTAACTATAAGTTTTAAAGCGACAATATATAACCAAAACATCTAAGTCTGTGTGTGATTTTTGTAGGCAACTACTAAATCTCAATCTTTCTGGAACTTTATCTCCAGAAATAAGGCAATTATCTTATATGAAAATATTGTGAGCCACGTTCCTAATTTCACCTACATTACTTTGTTTCCTTTTTCTTGATAATATTTTGTTATGCATATAACATATTTGCTCTTGATCTTAAAGGGATATCATGTGGAACAACATAGGTGGGAGTATACCAAAGAGATACACCAACTTACATTCTTGAAATTCTTGTAGCTTTATTTCCTTTTTCTTGTTTAATTAATTAATGAGTAGATATTGAACCATTCAAGGTAATCTGTAATTATGTGCATGCAGGCTTTTAAATGGAAACAATCTAACAGACTCCTTGCCAGAAGAGATTGGGAATCTCCCCAATTTGAACCTCATACAAATCGACCAGAACCACATATCTGGACCAACACCAGTCTCATTTTCAAAACTGAACAACACAAAGCACTTGTAATTTTATTATTATTTGTTCCTATATTTTTATTTTCTGATTTCTATATGATGACTACTAGTATTATCATACGTGGGTTTGTAGTCATATGAACTATAATTCACGTTGAAGGAAGTTTACCTTCCTCTTATGGCAACATGCTTCAATTGGCCAAGTTGTAAGTGTAGTTTAAGTTTTAATAAACTTTAGTAATGATGAATTTCAATACATAACACTCTAATCCAAGATTACTTTTCGTGTTGCAGAAGTTTTAGGAATTGCAACTTACAAGGATCAATCCCTGATCTTAGCAAGACACCACATCTTACTTATATGTAAGTATGAAATAAATCTTGAATGTTTTGGAGTGAAGTCTTTTTTAAGTTGTTAGTTTGATGACAATTTATATATTTTAGAGACCTGAGTGATAACAATCTTAATGACATGGTTTTACTTTTCATATTAATCAAACTCCTTTCATTTCACTGCTATTATTATGTATGGGAGCAATTTACTTTCCTTGAGCAAAAGATCAACCCGATTTAATATTAGTGCCATATTAGTCTTGGGTTTTTTTATCCATCCGTGCATGTTCCAGTTAGTGCTTATTAACAATTTAGATGCAGCCCCTAAGACGAGATCATAGTAAAGTATGACTAAATGATGCATATACTTTCTGGGATTATTGACTTATCTTTTTCTTGACTAAGTTTCAAGCTGCATTCCTTTTACATCTCTCAGGCTTGTTTTTGACCACGAAAGGGAGGATCTTTTCGGATGCCATGATGCCCATATTCGTTGTATCGAGTACTCTTATGCAACTGGTTAGTTTCATTTTTTTCATCATTTCTTTTTATCTTTTTTTAATTCTTTTTCTTGATAAAGGTGTGTGACATGTTGGTGGTTTTTAGGGAAAGTGATTATAGGGAGTTGGGACAAAACTTTGAAGTGTTGGGACCCACGTATACAGGAGCGTGCTCTTGTGGGGACATATGGATAACCAGAGAGAGTTTATTCTATATCACTTGTTGGAAACCGTGTAGTGGTGGCAACTGCTGGAAGACATGTTAATGTGTATGATTTGAGGAATATGTCTCAACTTGAACAAAGAAGAGAGTCTTCATTGAAATATCAAACTAGATGTGTTCAATGTTATCCTAATGGCACTAGTATTTTGACCTAATTTTAAACCCTAAATCTTAAAAACCCCTAAACCCTAATTGATGAAAGATGATGTTTTGCAGGGTATGCACTTAGCTCTGTGGAAGGTCACGTTGCAATGGAGTTTTTTGAGCTTACTGAGATTGGTCAAGCCAAAAACTATATATTTTTTTGTTACACATTTCATAAACAAAAAATATATTTCAATTTTTACAAACAATTGTCTTTCAGCTACTTTTAGTTTCTAGTGTTGGAAATTGATGGTTTTAAGATTTATTCAGATACGCATTCAAGTGTCATAGGAAATCAGAAGCTAGAAGAGACATTGTTTACCCTGTAAATGACATTGCATTTCACCCAGTGTAAGTTATTTCTTTTTTTAGTTAGTTAATACTTAATATCTTTACCTTTTATACTAAATAAATATGTACATTTATGTAAACACTTCAAATATAATAAAGAGTAAATTGCATTTTTGTCCTTAAGTATAACTGGTTTTTTCAATTTCTCTCGAGTTTTTTGTAACGTTTTTGGTCCCCGTTCCAAGAAAATGTCTATCGAGTAAATTACATTTTTGGTCCCTGAGTTTGTTCAAAGTTTACATTTTTGGTCCTTACACAATTTTGGTGTCTATTATGTTGTGGAAATGATTTTGGTCCTTGGGTTTGCTAAAAAACTTATGTTTTTACTAGTTTCCTCTTGCACATTGATGGTTACAAGTTGATGATGAGAACATTGTTCTAAGACCATCTAATAAAGCAAGGTTGGTGTAAGAGTTGATGATGAGAACATTGTTCCAAGATCTTCAATGAGTTATGATGATGTCCCTTAATAGCAATGTAGTATTAGGTTATATAGTTAGGGATGATTATTTGCATTTGACATGTTAGTGCAATGAATTATCTTTCTTATTTATTGTATTTTATTTTGTATTTTGTATGACATTAACTTTTGTGCAATGGATTGTATTTTTTGTATATGGTATTTTAGTTTCTATTATAAGAAATGAAATGTAAATTTAATTTGAAAATTAGTAAATCTATAAATAATTTTTTATAAAAAAATATAAATAAAAATTACGATACGCAAAAATGTGTGTCATCTTCATTTATGACATGACCTTTCTTGACAGCGGCTTTAATGATACGCATTTAGTGTCATAAATGTGCGTCGTAAATGCGCGTCGTCTCTAGACGACGCGCAAAAGCGCGTTATCTCTCGTTATGACAGGGCCTTCCTTGACGCGCATTTACGCGTCGTCTGAGCATTTTACGACGCGCAATGAGCGTCGTAAAAGGCTGTTTTTCTAGTAGTGATACCTCCGGAACGACAGCTGGAGTTCAGGATCGACCTAGTCCCTGGTGTGGCTCCGATAGCCAAGGCACCGTACCGGTTGGCTCCTCCCGAGATGCAGGAGTTGTCTACGCAGCTGCAGGCGCTGTTAGATAAGGGATTCATTAGACCGAGCAGTTCACCCTGGGGAGCCCCGGTCCTGTTTGTGAAGATGAAGGACGGGTCGCATCGGATGTGTATAGATTACCGGGAGCTGAACAAGGTAACGGTAAAGAATCGTTACCCACTCCCAAGGATTGATGACCTCTTTGATTAGTTATAGGGAGCATCTTGGTTCTCCAAGATCGATTTGTGTTCAGGTTATCATCAGATGAGGGTCAGAGATGAGGATGTGCAGAAGACCGCGTTTCGGACGCGTTATGGCCATTATGAGTTCGTGGTGATGCCATTTGGGCTCACCAATGCTCCTGCCGTGTTCATGGACCTCATGAACCGCGTGTGCAGACCGATGCTGGATCGATCTGTGATAGTTTTCATTGATGATATATTGGTTTATTCCAAGACGCAGGAGGAGCACGAGGAGCATCTGAGAGAGGTTATGGAGACCCTGAGGAGGGAGAGCTTGTATGCTAAGTTCTCCAAGTGCGAGTTCTGGTTGCGCGAGGTGCAATTCCTTGGGCACCTTGTCAACCAGAATGACATACTGGTCGACCCGGCCAAGATAAAGGCCATGATGAGATGGGAGGTTCCGAAGTCTCCATCCGAGATTTGGAGTTTCCTAGGATTAGCGGGATACTATCGGAGATTCATTCAGGATTTCTCCAAGATAGCCGTACCCCTGATGCGGTTGACTAGGAAAGCCGTAGTCTTTCAATGGGGGCCTGAGCAGCAGGCAACATTCGAGATTCTGAGGCAGAGGTTGTGCGAGGCGCCAATATTAGCCCTACCCGAGGGCATTGAGGATTTTGTGGTATACTGTGACGCGTCCATTTCGGGGTTGGGCGCGGTACTAATGTAGAGAGGGCATGTCATCGCCTACGCTTCGAGGCGGATGAAGCCTCACGAGGCTAACTACCCAACACATGATTTAGAGTTGGGGGCGGTGGTCTTCGCCCTCAAGATTTGGGGACATTACCTCTACGGGGTTCGATGTACCATTTACACGGACCACAAGAGTTTAAGGTACCTCATGGATCAGCTAAATCTGAACATGAGGCAGCATCGATGGTTGGACGTGGTGAAGGATTATGATTGTGAGATCCTTTATCACCCGGGGAAGGCCAATGTGCTTAGCCGTAAGGCGGTGCTGATCAGGGATGTCTGTATGAGGATGACGGTGGTGACTCCCCTGTTAGAGCAGATTCGGGAAGCTCAGCAGGAGGCTATAAAGGAGGAGCATTGTAAGAGCGAGCGGATAGTGGGCTAAGTCACCTCCTTCGATTTTGATAACTGAGGATTATTGACACTACACCGTAGGGTGTGGGTGCCGTATCACGGAGGCGTGCACCAGATCTTGATGGAGGAGGCACACAAATCCAGATTCTCTATTCATCCGGGGGCGATGAAGATGTATAGGGATCTTCGCCTAGACTATTGGTGGACCTTCATGAAGCGGGATGTGGCTTGGTACGTCGAGTGGTGCTTGACCTGCAGGAAGGTCAAGGCCGAGCATTAGAGACCGCATGACAAGATGCAACCGTTGGATATCTCGTTGTGGAAATGGGAAGATATTACGATGGATTTTATCACAAAGCTTCCCAGGACTGCGCGAGGGGTAGATTCGATACGGGTCATCGTGGATCGATTGACCAAGAGCGTCCGTTTTATCCCTATCTAGGAGAGTATCTTGGCCGAAAAGTTGGCCGATATCTATATCAGGGAGATAGTGGCACGGTATGGGGTGCCGATGTTAGTGATATCAGACCGAGATGTGCAGTTCACTTCCAGGTTTTGGAAGAAGTTTCATGATGAGTTGGGCACTCATCTGCATTTTAGCACCGCCTTTCACCCGCAGAAGGATGGTCAGAGCAAGCGGACCATCCAGTAGCGGTGGGTCTAAGGCCACAATGCCAGCCCACCAGTAGGAGACGTATGATAGATGATTGTCTTTGTGATATCATCTAGGTTTGCCACTACCTGATATGTTATATGCTAGCATGATATGTTATATGTGATAGTAGTAGTAAGGGGTGAAATAGTCCCCAAGGTTCAGTCGTTAGGACTAGAGGGTAGTCAGCACCCCAGAATGGCTTGACATGGGTAGTCAGCACCCCAGAATGGCTTGACATGGGTAGCTCGGCACCCCAGAATGGTCGTACCGGGTAGGTCGGGCACCCCAGAAATGCCTGGAAATATGTATGATACGTGTTTGTATGGTATGTGGTGTGATGGGGGAAGTCACTAGGCTTCGTGCTTATAGTTTGCAGTTTTGGTTTCAGGTACCTCTTCTTCGAAAGGGAAGGAGCTCGCGCGGTAGCAACACATCACACACACGCTTTATATTCCGCATTATGAGATATTCCTGGGGATTTGTACTCTGATTTATTTATGTTTTTTTTATAAACTGGTTTCCAGACACGCACATCTTTTATGAAATGATATGATCGGTGAATGTTTTATTTTAATGTTTAGCTAAGTATGTGTATTTAAAAATGAAATTTTTGGCTTGTATTTTTGGGGTGTTACAAATTGGTATCAGAGCCCTGGTTTGAGGGATTCGGACACACCTTCGGGGGTGTTTGAACTCAAATCGAGGGATTAAAAGATTTTGGAAAGAGAAAATGTTCTCTAAAAGGCTAAGTAAAGGGTTTTAAGAAAGAACAAAGTGTGTGATGTACGCGACCGACCGAGCTCAAGTAAGTATTCCCCAGTGTATCCATACATGTTTATTTATGTTTATCAGTTTCTGTAGAACAACATGCTAGAATAGGGCTAAGGATCTAGGAGTGATGCCTTATGTGCCTGCTTTATGTGCTTCAGTATATGAAAGAGTTGCATGCTAGAGTTGAGTAGACAGTAGTGGGGTAGCCTGTTTAGGTTATTCCTGATAGTACGAGTTTAGCATTGTATGCTAGTTCAGTTTTCTCTATGAGGATAGAGTTGGTTGAGATTGTTTTCTTTATGTCCAAATGTTGCTTGCTTTGTGATATGTAGGCTTTGAAGTGATGGGAGTTAGCTGTTAGGTGTATACGTTAAAGTCACATGTGATCAGGATTGAATAATCTCAAAGTGTTAGATTTGACCCTATTGCGTAGCTCTTGTTTGAGTCCTAACCATTGTAGGGATGAGTCCCTTACTCGAAGGATTATCCGAGCCTCATCACATGTGATTGTATTAAGGTAATATCTAATTGGCATCACCAAGAGGCCTTCAGCAGCTGAGGACTGGGATGGGTGGAGTCAGAGGTTTCCTAGGGAAAGCCTAGGATAAGAGTATCAGTGATCAGCGGTAGTGGAAGGGACCTGGTTGAGTCGAGGCTGTCTTTGGGGAAGGTACAGATAGATGTGGAAGGTAGTATGGGCCCGTACTACTGAAAGCAGAGGATCC